TTATCATCCCCGAATTTTCGGTAACTCTTTCATTGTTTTCATTAGTTTCATCTTGTCACTGTTCTCCGTAGCATTGGTACGGACGTATTGCTTTTCTTTTTGTCACGATTACCCTCTCACTCACTTAACCTTAACAATGTGTTGTTTGCTCAGGCCCAGGAGAGTCACCGAACCACCGAGTCCCCCTCCCGATCCGCGAAAAACGCGCCTCCCAGATTGTCCACTAACTCTTCCGCTCATGCACATCCCGACCCAGCCGGGTTAAGTCTGAAGCAGCTTACTCGACTACATCGTTCGTTGAAATCTACTCGGGATCGATGTGCACGAGCCAAAGCACTGTACTGGGATGCGGTCAAACAGGCGATTTGGATTGAAGATTTGAACACGTTCCGAAGTAAACAGTAAGTCATTGGTTATGCTTTGCCATGACGGAGCTGAAGCTGAAAGCAACCGGTTGAGTTCGAATGATGTTTGCAGCCCCGGGGTAGAGTGAATGGTGTATGCTGTCTTCTTTCTTTCCAGTCTATTGCAATTGTCATTCTTCACACAGAACTCATCAACGCTGATGATAATTAAAATCGAAAATTGAAAAAAAATGCGACAACTGCTTCATTTCCTCGTTAGGGATGTTTTATGAATTGGTTTGTACACAGGGCTTTTCAAATTGCTGTTGGAGGCTTCATTTTTACTGCCGCCGCATGGATTACTTTTCTGGATGCGGAGCAGATTATTTGAAGTTGTATTCTTCCGATGAAAACGCTCCAACTGTTCGTATGCAGACGTACGAGAACTGGTGGTCATTATATAACGATAAACTTATCTTACTATTATGCGGCTAGGAACAAGCCAACTTCGTGGGTGTTTCGGATGACTCCTGTATAGGAATGATGATCAGAGGCAAAACGGGAGACAGTTTTCCTGGCATCGAAAGATGTGGTCAAACTATTTCAATCATCGGTGTTGAAGTAGTATATACACCTTTTCGATATTAAAGCAGTGTTGTCTTATTGTGTTCTTCTCCTGGTCACTTTGGGGATCTATTGAAGACATCACCACCAGTTCTTTTTGTCCGAGCGAGTAACTGTTTACCCAATCACTCGGAGGTCTGAGAAACCACTTATTTAGGTGTCTCGGATAAATGAAGAATGACTGTAATGTAATCCTCATGTTCGCCGAATTACTACGCGGTGAGACGACTGCGTTCGGGAAAACTTATCGCTCTATCGATGATCCAAGTGCAGCCACGTTTGTCCGTTTGAAGCGCTATTTCTCCTTCAATTGATCGGATGAATATTAAAGCGTAGCGGACAACGGTTTGATCAGTGTCGTTATTATCTCTTGTTGTCTCATCTCCACCAGGAGCCGCAGTCTTTGACCGATAATGATGTGTAGCGCAATTCTTCTAGTATGTAGTAGTATGTGATGCGATCGTCATTTGAGTATTCCGCAAGCATATGTTGCTGCTGGGGGATGTTGAAATCATATACTGAAGACGATTGGCTTATTGTGGTCTGCTAAGATGATGATGAATTCATCATTGCTAATCAAGACCAGAGTTTCCAAGTATGTTTCTGGTTGCCTTGTCTAAGGAGTCAGTTTGAATGTTCCAGTTCCCTCGATAAGGATTATGTCGCCATTAGAGATAGCATTCACTACGTCTTGTAACCTTCCGTAGAACTCGTCTTTTATCAGTGCGTAGACGGTACAGACCGATTCGTAAACGAGATATGCCAACGTGCTACAATGATCCTGGGGAATATGGGGTTCCGTACGATTAGGGGCCCAGCGATGACTATTACTGACAGCGAATACGATGACCGGAGTAGTAATCAAGTCCTTATTTTGGCGTTTGACAGACGAACTTCGCACAATTTGCGTGCAGCGATTGCCTGACCGAGATACCGATATGTTTTTACATAATAAAGCTCCCAGTTAACACGTTTGTTACCTTTACTGTTGGTGGAACGCGAGACGTGTCGCCTCCCAGGGACATCATATCATTAGTAGCAAGTGAAGAAAAATGTTTTTTGAAGAGCCTTGGGAACGTTACACTGTGGTGTCACTCGCTTTCT